TTCCTATATTATTTATTTCTCTACTATATAAGCATTGGGCAAGAGAGAGAAAGCATATGGAGATGGATGAATTTGGGAGAGTAAAGGGAGTGAGATTAATGGCAATTCCAGCAGCATTTTGGCAAGGGATTTGAGGTATTCTCTAAAAACAATGAACGCATAGAATTTCTTCTTGATGTTTCATTTTCCTTTAAATAAGATCAGTTTAGATGCTGTGTTTTTAGAGAGTTTTTTGAGCATGGAACTCAGAAACTCTGATTGTTTATGATCTCGTTGTATCCTGGGGGTGTGTTCACCAGATACCCTATTGCATCTCGATTTTGTACCAGGTAGGGGGTGATCAACACTTTCGAAGAAAGTGAGCTCCTTTCGGGCCTCCAGATCCCTATCCTTGTTGCCACCTTGTATAACTTTCGAATCCATATTCCGACTCCAACGGGAGTCCGACTGGTACTAGGAGTGTTTCCTTTTTCCAGATATGATCTTTGAATCTAGATTCTGACTCCTACGGGAGTCTGATTGGCACTAGGAGTGTTTCGTTTTTCCAGATATAATCTCTGAATCCAGATTTCGACTCCTACGGGAGTTCGACTGGTACTAGGAGCCTTCAGAGGTGCTGCTGAATTTTCCCCAAGATGAGTGTAAGTTCAAGCCATCGGTCGTGAGTTCAAGCTATCAACCGTGAGTTCAAGCCATTGGTCATGAGTTCAAGCTATCGACCGTGAGTTCAAGATATCAGTCGTGTGTTCAAGCTATCAATCGTAAATTCAAGCTATCGACGTGCGTTCAAGCTATCGATCGTCTGTTAGGTTTTCCACTGTGCATGAGCCATCACCACTACCAAGAAGCTAACAATTTCAACGTGCTGGCTGTTGGAAGCTCGCGTAAAGCTATGACCCAAGATTTTGTCAGACTAGACCGTTTTGATGGACTTAATTTCAGATGATGGCAGTCGAAAGTACTATTCTTACTTAAGACCTTAAAAGTAGAATATGTGCTAAGAGAACCACGTCCTATTGCTCCAAGTAATTCCTTGTCACCTACCGGTGATCAGACTTCTGTAGATCGAATTACTGAAGAAATTGCAGCATGGGACGAAAATTATTATATTTGCAAAGGGCATATCCTGAATGCTCTAAGTGATCCATAGTTTGATCTATACTTAGGAATGCCAATTGCAAAGGCACTATGGGCAGCTCTAGAAACTAAATATAGAGAAGATGTTGGCAAAAAGAAGTATCTCATTAGCAGATACTTGAACTTTAAAATTACAGAAGAAAAACTGTTCTTGGCTCGAATTCATGTTTTCCAGATCATAGCAAATGAACTTGCATCGAATGGTATTAAACTTGATGATACATTCCATGTCAGGGCAATAATTGACAAATTGCCTCCTTCATGGAAAGACTATCGAAATATATTGATGCATAAGCCTGAAGACTTTAGCCTCGAACAATTGATGACACATCTGAGAATTAAAGAAGAGACCAGACTCCGAGATGCCAAAGAATACAAATCTCAGATGGTCGCCAGAGCTCACATAGTTGAAGGCCCGAGAAGAAAGAAACCAAGAACTCAGAAAGGAATCAAGATGGAAGGAAAGAAAGAAGAAAAGAAAGACACCAAAGATGTAAACCCAAAGACAACCCAGGATAAAGGAAAGAAACTCTTGATATGCTTCTTCTGTGGCAAAATTGGCCATGTGCAGAAATTCTGCAGAATTAGAAAGAAGCTGCAAGCTCAAGCCAACGTGATTGAAGAAAAATTTGTTGCCATGATCTCCGAAGTCAATGCAATAGGGGGCACTGCAGACTGGTGGGTGGACTCAGGTGCCACTAAACACGTCTGTAATAGCAAGAACTTGTTTAGGTCTTACGAAATGGTTGGGGGGGACACTGTATTGTACATGGGTAATTCTTCCTCCTCTAAGGTTGTTGGCGAAGGGACAATTGAACTAAAATCCACATCCGGTAATGTCCTTACCCTTCTTGATGTGTTCCATGCCCCTGAAGTCCGGAGAAACTTGGTATCTGCATAGCTTTTGCATAAGAAGGGTTTCAAACTTGACTTTGAGTCCGGCAAGTTTATCTTGTCGAAGAATGATGTCTTTGTAGGAATGGGATACGCCTCAGAAGGCATGTTTAAACTAAATCTTCACAATGAAATATGTACATCTTTTTCGGTGTATATGCTTGATTCCTTTTCCTTATGGCATGGTAGATTAGGACATGTTAATTATCATGCATTAAGAAAAATGAGCAGTTTAGACCTTAATCCTAAGTGTGCGACTTTAGAGAAACCTTTGAGTAAAGTCTAAGATCACAAGAAAACCCTTTCCTAAGGCAGAAAGAAGTTCCAACTTACTGGAATTAATTCATAGTGATGTTTGTGATCTTAGAGGCGTACAAGCTCGTGGTGGGAAGAAATACTTTATCACTTTCACAGATGATTTCTCAAGATACACCTATGTTTAATTGATTAGAACAAAGACGAAGTATTTGAGAGATTCAAGGTTTACAAGACAAAAGTCGAGAACCAACTGAATTCTAAAATTAAGGTTCTTAGAAGTGACAGAGGTAGTGAATATTGTTCCGCTGATTTCACTAACTATTGTGAAGAAAATGGAATTATGCACGAAGTTACTGCCCCATACACACCGCAACAGAAAGGCTTAACTGAAAGGAAAAATCGCAATTCTTATGGACATGGTCAATGCCATGCTCATCAGTTCCATCCTCCCTGCTAATCTTTGGGGAGAAGCCCTTATGTCTGCTTGTTTTATTTTAAATCGTATACCATATTCGAATTTTAGTGCTTCACCATATGAACGTTGGAAAGGTACGAAACCTCATCTAGATTTTCCCAAGGTTTGGGGATGTACAGCCTTGGTAACGCTCCCTGACCTTAAGAGGCCCAAACTCGGACCTAGATCTATAAAGTGCGTTTTTGTGGGCTATGCTGAACACAGCAAAGCCTATAGATTTCTAGACCTGAAGTCAAATGTAATCATAGAGTCTAGGGCTGCAGAATTTTTTTAACACACATTTATTGGTGAGCGGGATAATGAATATGAAGCTCGACATTGTAAACGTAAAATTAGTGAACTAGATGAAGAAATTTATGTTGGGCAACCAGATGGATTTGTCCTTAAGGGACAAGAGCACAAAGTTTGTAAATTTGTCAAATCCTTATATGGTTTGAAGCAAGCACCCAAGCAATGGCATGAACAATTCAATAGAATTATTACTGCACACGGATTTCAGATCAGTGAGTCCAACTGGTATTAGGAGTGTTTCGTTTTCCAGATATAACCTCCAAATCCAGTCTGGCACTAGGAGTGTTTCGTTTTTCCAGATATAACCTCCGACTCCAGATTGCGACTCCTACGGGAGTCCGATTGGTACTAGGAGCATTCTGGTTCAATCCAAGCTTTATCTCGGTCTAGGGAAGGTGCTGCCGAATTTTCCCAAGATGAGTGTAAGTTCAAGCCATTGACCGTGACTTCAAGCTATCGACCGTGAGTTCAAGCAATCGGTCGTGTTTAAGCTATCGACCGTGAGTTCAAGCTATCGGTCGTGTGTTCAAGCTATCGATCGTAAGTTCAAGCTATCGACCGTAAGTTCAAGCTAATGTGTTCAAGCTATCAACCGTCTGTTAGGTTTTCCACCATGCATCAGCCATCACCACTACCAAAAAGCTAACATGTTCTGATACCAGACCTATTCCTTTTTTCGTAGCAGGTTTCCTCTCGAAGGGGCTTTTTCTTCTTTTTTCAAGAAACAAGAGTTTTGGTTGACTCCCTCAAAAGAAAAAAAAGAAGAATTCACTTAACTTATTGAATTAATTCTTTATCCTTGATAAGCCAATCATCCTATATAGAACTAAGGGCTACAAATTTCTCTTTCTTTCCTTTTGTACTTACTTCCTCTTTGGTTCTGAATTGGTGATGACTTGTATGATCTATCAATGTGACCCATCAACGGTAGGCTTCTGATAAAAAGAAGCATAACTCCTTTCCATACAATGAAATTGGAATAAGAGAGTTTTATGATAACTTTTGGAAAACTGATATTGGCGAGACTAGAAGATTCTATGAGATAAAATGAGTAGAAATTAATGAATTTAAGTTTTTTATTTTAAAAAAAAAAGAAAGAAAGAAGAAATTTTCTGTTTAAATGTGAACATCAACTAGGGTTTATTGTTTAAGTGGGCAGTAACTAGGGTTTAGTATTCATGTGAACACTAACTAGGATTTACTGTTAAAGTCAAAACAAAGAGTTTATGATAAATAAGCGATTTAGAGAGAAGAAGAAATTCAGAGTTAAGAGAGATCTCGGTTATTGTGATAGATTTCACCCCATAAGAATAGAAGAGATTTAGGATAAAGAAGAGATTTAGGATAAAGAAGAGAATTTGAGAGAAGTAGAGATTTAAGGTTAAAAGAGATATAGAAACCCAAGTTTAACTTGGGGACGAATCTAGGGTTTCACGTCAATATTAAAAAAAATGTGATCAATCTGTACAATGATAGACAAAGAAAAGAGATAAAACAGAGACTTTGATACCTTTGATCAATGGAATACATTAATCGTTGAACTTCACTCAGATACCATGGTAAAATATTATCTTGAATACTTGAGAGAGAAGAACAAGTTGTGGTACAGGGAGCCAAAGCAGAGTGACGTGACCACCCCTAGTTCATTCTCATGAGCGCAGGGTCGCACTCAAAGATATGTATTTATTTTGTTTCTAAAGGTAGATAAGGGCACAAATAAATCCAGAAACTACATATTTGTCTTTTACAATGAATATGAACTACCAATACAAGAATGAGTTACACAAGTACATAAAATTCCCAGTATACCCATAACAACTATGACTAACAAAAGTTACATCTGACAATATATAGGAAGAAAATAATAATAATAAAGCAATCTAATCTATATTAATATTAAATGTAACATTCCTAGAAAGTTTACGAGTACAGAATAGGAACGTACAGACGCAACATTAATCAAGTACCCTGGAAGGCAGCGTTGTAATGTGATAAGTATTTCCTTCGTGAGTTTTCCAGGTTCACAATCAAGCACTACAACCAAACTTAACATGGCAGACATATTGTCCAGGGGTGGGATGTTAGCCTGAAAATGCAATAAACGATATCAGTGTGAAACCCAAAATTGATTGCTGAAGAAGAAATACTTTGAATGTTTTATTTAAGCAAAAGAAGCAGTTAGCATGACACGAAAAAATTGAACACTTATGAGAATGAAATTAAAACTCCAGAGAAACAAGTGAAGTTTCAAGAGGATCAAAACTCAGTAAAGGATATCATTAACTCAAAAGAAACGAGAATAAAAAATAAAGAAATATGTTTAAAATGGATACCATCTCATGGGTTATGAGTGGCAGTAAAATATTGAGTACAAGTGCTGGGTCACCCATTTCAAGGAGGCAAGAAATAACTGCTTTGGTGATGGCTCTGTATGTATCAAAACTTGATGTCAACTTATTATAGTCCCCCTCAGGTGATGCTTTCTTCAATACTTCTGAAAGAGATCCTCTAGCCTCTATTTAAATAAACTCACAAAAATCAGAAACCTGTCTAATCTCTAATGAAAACAGATAATGTATCTTCTCAGAACCCCTGGACAAAGTCTTTATATTTCAAAATTCACCAATGGAGCAATTCTAGACAGAAACAAACGCATCTAAAATATTTATAACTTGATGGAAATATAAGAAAACCAAGGGAGAAGTCAAATCCATAAGGCGGGTAAAGCGAGAACAGTAAATAAAATGTGTATTCCATAACTGTCATTTTCAGACACTTCATTTGATGGTCAAAAGCTATCGAAACCTGAAAAGCTAAAAAAGAGGAATGAGAATTATGTTCCTCATTTACAGCTGACCACAATTGAATTAGGAAACTAACATAACCTGTTAGTGCATTAGAGTGACTCAGTTCTTGCAAATTATGCGTGATTTCACAAGTAAGATCCTAAAGTAAAGGACAGGTATACTACAATCCAACAGATTACGGAACAGTTGGCAGTGGAGAGACGGTGGGGCCCATCAGGACATGGCATAGAGCATAACCCCTAAAGTGGATCTGTTTCACTCTCCACTACCATCCACATTTTGATAGAAGGAGATAAACCAATAAACAATGGTTTTTATGATAGTACTTCCTCAGGAGTAATTAATGTATGATATGTTTATGCAACACAATCCACAATTGAGGTTCAATGAAACGTTAAATCATCTGGTTATGGCTTTAGTGTCTGTTAGTTAAACATTGGTGTGACTCCTTGAACATGCAAAGCACATGTTCCCCTTTTCTTTTGGTTCCCCTTTTCTTTTGGCTGACGTTCAACATTATAAAGAACCAAAGATACATGTGGTCCAATGAAAGGGACTTGTTCCAAACTTATTTGGTGGCCATTGCCAGATAAGTATGTTAACACCCTTCTCTTATATGCATCACCAATAGCTGCAACTGATTCATATCATGACAAGCCCCCTTCACACTTCAGACTCTCGGTTGCTAGTCTTCCTCTTTCCCCACATCCTATTCATTGAGGTACATGCAATGGTATATTTTAGTTTAAGAATATCAACCACATAAAACATTGGATTAGAACCTTCCTTTTCCCCTCTTTGGCTATATATCAGGCCCGCTTTTAGAGATCTCCGAAAAAAGGCACCCAAATAGGCTACTAGGCTGAGTCCTTCAGCAATCATTCTTCTTATATAAATCTTTAGAATCACTAGTTGGCTGAGAAAAGAATTAATACTATTGACAACCTTTACAATGACATCCAGAAGGGAAAACACCAACAAGCTCAAAGAAATTGTGCCCATCTATGTATGTATGCATGCATGCATGTATGTTTGGTATCAATGTATTCATCTATCAATCATTGTATTTATATATGAATGTAAATTTGTAAATATGTAAAAATTGAGGTATCCTAAATATGTATAACATTGACAATATTTTCTCTTTCACCTAAACATATTTAAGACTGAGGTTCTCGAGTTAATAAATTTCTATCATAAATCTTCCGATGCAAGTCTTGGGTGAGGTGGGAATAATCCTCTACAGTGTATGCAACTTTATATAATCCGAAACAAATCAACTCCAGAAACAAGGGCACATGAATGTTATGATTGCTTAATTAACTCTATATATGCAAAAAGATGGAGACAAAGTCTAACCCTTAAACTTTACGAAGCTTCCATTTTGTCAGATATAAGCATTTTATGCGTTCATGGCCTTGATATAATTTTAGCTGATATTAACAAGTTGAACACCAAATTTTACAAGTTACCAATCACGCAACCAGTAAAGTTGAAGTTTTTGAAAAAGGCAAGGGTGACCAGATCGGTGTCCTGTGACTTGTAAGGTTGGCCGCTCATGTTTTTTTCTTGGGTTTTTTCAACAATCCCCTATTAGTCATATTTAAGCACTTTCTTGCATATGGTCCTAAAACAGTTTTTTCAAAAGCATAAGTTTTTGACCCAACTACGATCAATCTCTAAATGTATTAAATGCCTCCAATGCAATGTTTTAAAATGCGGGATGAGGCCCTAATGGGGTGGGGGGCCGATGCGGCCCGGATGCGGGTGCATCGCGATGATGTGGTCAATAAATATAAAAACATTCTGAAAAATCTAAAAAAGTAAGTTAATGCATAGAAAAAAATATGAAGGTGATATATGTGATAGTAAGTATTTTAGTTTAATGATTAACTTCAAAACTATTAGCTGTCGGAGATTCTGTATCCAATTATCCACTATCCCCTGATAGAAACTAGAAACTTGAAACCAACTTCATAAAGCATTCAACAATCAACAACCATCAGCACAAATTTGCATCATAAGCACTACTATAATTAAGCACAACCATCAACAACCATAAGCACAAAATAATGATATTACAAAACACAAATAAAAAGTCAAGCTCAAGAAGAGTTCATAGTTAATAAATAATAACTTAATACAATCATCCATTTTGAGAGTCAATTTTAAAATTTGAACTTCATTTTTTCAAATATCAATCAGACAAGTCATCTTGAGAGTCGTCATGCGCATCATCAATATCATCCTCGACGGCCTCCATGTATTCTTCTTCATCGATCTCCTCTGAGTCAGCTTCCTCCTCGACCTCTGAAGCTAATGTACGAGTGCGACTAGACCCAGCAGCTCCTCTACTCCTTTGTGCTCTAGTGTTAGGTCGATTTTCTTCATTAGCCTCTATTGCTAGCTCGACATCAAGCTATGTAAGATCCTCACCCTCAAACACATGCTCTTGTCTTGGATCCACGGTCCATTCACTTATGGAATCAACATCAGCTTCATATAATTGAATAGGGTTGAGCTTCGTGCGATTTTCATACCTCTCCCAAAGCCGCTCGTTATACCGCACATAAACCAAATCAATTAACTTTTTCTGCTCCAACCTATTTCTTTTTTTTGTATGGAGCTGTGGTAGAAATTTGAAATCAGATAAATTAGATTTTAGATTAAAAAATTGAAATTCAAGAAATAAGGATTAAGGAATAAGGAGTAAAAGACTTACATGCTCAAATGCACTCCAATTGCGCTCACAACCAGATGAGCTACATGTGAAATTCAACACTCGAATAGCGAGACGTTGTAGATTTGGTGTCTCGCTTCCATATAATGCCCACCATGCAGCTGTATAATATTTTATAATTTAGAATATAGTTAAAAATTAAGGGTATAAAATAAACAATGGAACTATACATAAAGTAAGGGACAAGTAATATTATTTTTGGGCTTTTAGCCTTTAGCTGGATCTGTAGTATCCCTATTTCGAGTGGCAATATCTCTCCCAAAGTTTTCCAAGCCTAACTTGAACTTAATCAATTCATGGCTCTAGATCTCATCCTAGATATCTTTGTCTGGCACCAACCTCTTTAGCACATCTAAGAACCCACCATTTATTACACGATCTGACTCAATAGATGGGTGCTTGTAATGAAGAGATGGGTTTAGAAAATAACTGGCTGAATGGAGGTGCCTGTGAAGTTGGGTATCCCATCTATTATCGATAATTTCAAGTATAGCCTTGTGCATATTTTCATCATCCTTTAAAACAACTTTTATTTCAGTTCTTGCCCTAGTCATTGCCACATGTATGTAGCCCAAGGCGAGCTTTGCATCATCATCAACCAGTTGAAGCACTCTCACTAAAGGGCGAGCCACCTCCAATGCAATAATTATTTGACTCCAAAAAGATGTATTCAAAATAATTTTTTCAGCCTGTCTCCCATCCTTATGCTTTGATCATTTGCTTTGACTCCATTACTCTGAAGCAAACATGGTCCTCAAGGCACTTTTTTGCTTGGCTAGGCTTCTAAGAGTGAGAAATGACGTGGCAAATCTAGTGATATCCGGTCTCACTAATTCTCCCTTCTTTGTAAAACACCTCATCGTGCTTAGGACTATGGTGTGATTATAAATAAATCCAACAACAAACATAGCTCTTGAAATCGCCCCACTAAATAAAGATGTTGTACCCATTTCCTTAAGCATAAGATCAACACAGATCCAAAACATATGCTTCCTTTTCATAGTCAAGAAATGCCCAGCTGCAGCATAGTTGGCACCATTGTCAATGATAATTTGTACCACATTTTGCTCCCCAACAAAATTGACAATCTCATCCACCAAGCCACATAAGTATGTACCATCATGTGACTTGTCTGATGCATCAATAGACTTAACAAAAAAAGTACCTGTTGGGCAGTTAACCAAAACATTAATAAATGCCCTTGATTTCCCATCGGACCAACAATCACACATAATAGTGGCCCCATATTTCTCCCACCCTTCACTCTGAGAAATCAAAATTTTATTCACATCAAATACAACATCCTTCAACAAGTTGCCATATTGCCCAATTGCCTGGACCATACATGAAAAACTATCCAGAGTTATAGTATTAAAAGGAATGCCGGCCATGTAAATCCACTTTGCAATCGACTTACATACCGACATCCTTTGTTCTTTCTTATATTTATTGTCAAGTGTGGTTTGTTTTGTTTTTTTCTCTCTCCTGAACAACAATTTCGAGGCTAGGGGTGAATCCATAGGCCCCTTAGAGAGACGTGTTCTTCTCTCAGCACTACCACCAATATTTATAACCCTCTCTCTTGAGGTTGGAGTATGAGTACCCCTTTGCCTCATAGCAACTTCAGACATATCATCATCATCATCAACATCGCATATCATCAAGTAATTCCTTTCTTTTCTTTTTTTTTTTCTTTTTATCTTTTTTCAATCTATCCAAATATTCTCTAATCTCCTTTCTTATATCATCTATAGCTTGTGGGCATGCTCTTACATTCCTAGAAATTCAGGCTAAATGCTCTTTTTATCGAAAAATACCACCTGTATAAGTTTTTCCACAGAGCAAGCATATCACACAATTTCTATCTTTCGAATTTTTTAGTTTAGCATTTTTCCAAGCCGGATCCTTGTTACTAGAAGATTGGGAAGAAGAAATTGCCCCAAAAATAAGTATAACAGTATTATTGTACAAGAAGGAATAAAAAGTTACCGACTCTGTGACGTAGTGCTCGATTTCTTCACGGCTCTTGAAATCCCCAAATTCTTATCACAAATTTGCCTTAACATCCTCAAATCAACAATCAAAGGCATCAAATGAACATCCAAGTATCAAACAACCGCCAAATCGAAAATTTGGATGAAAAAAAAATTTGCGCCAAATTTTTTTTTTTCCCTTCGATTTGATGCAAAAAAAGCCACAAAGGTGGCTGAATATCTTCGTTTAGGGGGTATAACAACCCCCCAAACAATTTCCCTAAACTTTGGAACTACAAAAAGACCATTTTACCCCCCCCCGTGGGGCAAAATCGAAAATTGTTTCCGTAGAAACAGAGCGGCGCGATGCGGTCTGATGCGGGATGCGGCCTGATGCGGCGCATATGCAGCCGCTTTTGTCAAAAGCGCATATGCGTCAGTTTGCAATGCGGATGCGAGCGCATCCCGCATGATGCGGCCGCATATGCAGCGATGCGGCCGCATTTTAAAACGCTGCTCCTATGTCAAAGGTTTTCTCAACTAATCACATAAATTAAGGCAGAGACAAAAGCAGGTCATGTGAGTCTAATCAATGCCATAGAGTAAGATGAATCTCTTAAGGCAAATTGAAAATTAATAAGTTTCTTTTTGTATGGATATAATATTCTGAAGGGTATTGTTTAAGACTTCAGATCCCTTAAACCAGTGAAAAACATAATATACAATTTAACAAAGAAATAACTTAGATTTAACTGAATGAGAAATATTCAAATATCGAAAAGCAAGCATACAAAGATAAATGCAATGACTAACCAAAATTTACATCATAGCTTGCAATTAAAGTCACCAAGAAACTGATCTGGTTTTCAATCTTCAAATGACCTGCTCTGTACACTGCTTGTACAACTTCCATAATCCGAAAAACCAAATGACGGTCCAAAAGGTTACCTGTAAAAGGTTAATATGAATGGTAGAAACCGTTAGAAGTGGATTTGATCGTCTAACAAAAATGAGCTCAATTAAAAAGTATGGCCACCAAATGATAATTTCCCTTCCTCACCACACATATGTACACACACAAACGCATTTATGAAATACATAGATGCTCATGACGATATTTTGAATTTTGGATTATCACTTTTGTGTCACCCTCATAATGGGAAGTTTACAAATGTTCTTAATTCAGTGTTTGAAACTACGACTCGGCCACGAGGCTCGGCCCTTGGCCGAGCTGAATAACTCGGACTCGACCTGAGTTACTCAACCAGTTGGGCTGAGTTCGGCCCCAAGCCAAAAAGTGTTCAAAAATAAAAAATAAAAAAATAGGAAAATATGTTTAAATTAAAATAGAACAAAACACATCTAAATGAGGTTAAAAATAGTTAATGTATTTTGAAAAAATCAATTTGTAAATGGGTATTTTATAAATAATTCAAAAAGAAGGGAAAAGGTAAAAATATGTATTCATGACCAAAACACTTCTCAATATTTACCAAAATGATAGAATATATTAAAAAAACATATTACAAATAAATTTTTTATTTTTTTGGAATTTTTATAATTGTTTTGAAGGTTTTTAAAGTCCCCGAGTCGGACCACCAAACTTGGGGGGACTACTTGGACCCACCATGGTGGTGAGTCGGAGTTACTCGGGCGAATCAAAGTTGGCTTACCCGAGTTTTCACACAGTGTCTTAATTTACGCATCTGATACATAAGGGTGTCCTTCAGCATCATGTATTAAGAAACAAATTCTCCTTCACCCCAAAATCCATACCTTTCTTCCAATGTTACTTTGGAGCTTCAAATTCAATCACTCCAAATTTCTATTTGGAAATAGGAAATTACATATCATGCATATCGTGCTCATAATGACTAATGATCACAACAATAACATATTACTAGATAATCTTGTATAGCACTTCTAATTCATGAATCGTTGGTCTCATTTTTTTGACCAGACATCTGGATGAATTTTTCAGAAGGAATATTGCTTATTGTGGATTAAAGTGCCCATAATCTAGGCATTCCAAGTTTTTTCTCATGGATCAATAGGGTTTAAGCCTCTTTAACTGCAGCATATGTGCTCAATGATATGTCCATTCTATTTCTAAAGGTTGATGGTTTAGATCAATACTGTTAGTTTTAAGTGATCCACTTATTCTAGTACTCAATTCTCCAATTATGATCCTATTTAGCTTTTCATGTGTCTTTCTATTAAGTATTCCCATCATTAGATCCAATCTTGGCCAGTGATAATCTATAAAGTACTCACTAGGATATGCACATTCCTTTATTGATCACAAATGATGATGCCCCTTTTTTTGACATCTTTTAGAGCTTGAAATGCAGCTTTTTTTCAGAGCAATTATACTTTACTCTCTTTCAAGTTCATGATCCTCAAGCGTTCATAGCTTCATATTACGCAGCCTGTCAGTACTATAAATGCATGTAGCTAGCACCTAGAATAACTGAAATTGGATCCTTCTCTTGTCATTGCTTAGAAAGCTCTTTATGGCCACAAAGAAAATCGAAAAGCCCAGATTGTATAATTAATGGATGCATCTTTTTTGTATTAGATAAACAGAGAAGCCAATCATTCCATTTCTAATCAACTCACATACATGAACACATGTTTTAATGATCCTTCCTTCAAAACCAGAGATCTAGTTCTCCATGAATGTGTATCTTATGTGGAAAATTTCAGTCAATATTTACATAAAACATATTATGTACATGATTCTGCTCCCTTCATTTGACCAATGAAGTTTTTATATCTTCCAAATCAACCAGATGTAGCCCATTTCATTTCACTTCAATAAGCCATACTCGATAACATGAGACTAACAGTTTTGCGAGGATGTCTGTTATTTCTCCAATTTTCCATACTAGAAATCAACAAAATTAAGGAGCAATGACCGCAATGACCATTTTCATCACTTACAAAGGCAACAGCGTGCTAAAGACTCAAGCAACAATGAGGACATGCTTGAGACATAATATAAGCAACAGATTGCAAGCTCCTGACAGTCCCTCGGTAGTCTTATAAATGGCCCATAAGAACATTTTCCTGCAGTGGCAACAGTGACGATTAAATTAGAAAAATTATGCAAAATTGACACGAGTATACACACCAGATTCCACAAAAATCGAACAACTCCACACCTTGATCTTTAGATCTTTCGGAGCATAAACTGAAAAATGGTATCAACCCAACTTGCATCTTGTCATAAGCCAAAGCATCAAAGGAATCTATTTTTGCACATTGCCCGATACGAAGTAGAAGATGCAAAACAACCTAAAAAAATGTTAGACAATTGAAAATTCTATCAGTGAGACCCATAGCTTCTGATCATATTAGACAATTCACCCTTATTCCATAATGATCTCAGTGAAAATATATACCTTTGACACAGAAGGATGACTGTGACCTAGCTGCCACAACAATTTTGGCAATGCATTTAACCACATTTGAAGATATTCGCACATATCAAGGTCACATGAATCCGGAAATGAAATATCTTGCTTTTGTATCTTGCACAGAAAATGTTATAAAAGAATTAAGAGAGCTGGATTGAGCATTTAAAATGCATAGAAAATAATCTATATATGAATGCCAATAATTATCACAAAAAAATAGGTCCATGATGAATGCACAGAACAGGAACCTGTATATAATGCAGAGTAAAAATGAAAGCCTTAAATATAAAGGATGATATATATAACATTAATTTTAGAAGATAAAAATTGCAAGGCAAGCTTAGAGAAGGAAAAGGCTATTCTGTCTTACAAGTGGGAGCATCTCTCCAATTGCAGATAAGCACACTAGCTTCCTTACAGAATGTGCTTTGCAGCCTTCAAACAATTCAGTAAAAGCCTGCAATAAGAATTTTAAACAATCATGATGAGGATAATCTGAAGAACTTCATAATGCGACAAACAAGGAGTGAAAAAAACAACATGATGTTTCTCATATGGAAAGATATACCCAACAATGAAATTATTTTTAGGAAGAAGGCAACACACAAGCAAGTAGATCAACGTAATGCACACTAGAAAGTCGGAATAGAAAACCATTAAGAGCCCTTTTCCTTTTGACAATATTTGGTTATTCCATAAAGGGTTCCAACAGAATGGTGGCAGAATGAAGCAAAAAAGAACTTAAGGTAAAGCTCCAATCGATGATAGGTGAATTCAACATTTGGAACATAACAACTTTTGGTATTGGTTAATATAGAGGGGAAGAAAGATGAGATCCTTCCAAATATAGCTGGTTCGATGGAAGGGAAGAAACTATTAATCTATCATCAAATGATCAACAGTAAGAGGTCACTCAAATATGAACTCTAGGAGACTCTCCTGCTAGAAAAACCAGGCTGGAAACAAACACGATTAAGTGTCTTAAAGAAGGGGATGGGAACACTGCTTTATAATGCGAGGAGTAGGAAAACATTTTTATCAGAAGCAAGATAGTAGGGGAGGAGTTGATCCAAAGCTCAAGAATCTGTGTACTACGCAATTGTAGGTTCTTTAAAGTGCTATACTCAAAACAGAGCAGATTCAAACATTTACCAGTTCTTTAAAGTGCTCTACTCAAAACAGAGTAGATTCAAACATTTACCAGAAAACATTACTTTTGATCAAATATTTAAATATTGGTCCAGCAAGGTATTTCAAGAAAATAATTCTCTTAAGGATGAAGGGCAACCTGCAATGCTTTTGATGGGGTCCTGGCCTGGATGATCTCTCTGTTGGTCGTTTTCAATGAATCTTGACATACTCTCAAAGAAGATATTATGCTGTTCTTTCATGAATGTCACAAAAGGGGAGCTCAAAAAAGGTTTGAATTATGTTTATTGTCATGAATCTATGATTCCTAAGATAGAGCGAACTGGAAATATCAAAGACTTGAGACTTATAAACCTTGTCGGAAGAATCTATAAGATAATGTGTAGGCCACAAGACACATTTCTGCCCCCCTCAGATTGTTTAGAATCATATGGTCGTCTTTGTTCAGGGAAGAAATTTTTTGAAGGGAGCATCAAATGCCAATGGATACATAAACTCAGAATACATGGATAGAATTGGTTAGATAGTTCATGCGGAAAATGGTTTTTGGGGATGAGTTGAGCAACTGGATTATGGAATATGCTCACTTTCTTAACTATAATGAATGGTTCTCATAAAGGCCATGTCAAAGGATCGTGAGAGATTCTCTTGGAAACATATATAATGAACATTAAATATTTCTCCAAATGAACTGTGTGTGCGTGTTTGTTTGCATGAAGGGCAAGTCATGTACACTATTCCTCAGGAATAAATAACATTATCCACAAGTAGAACAAGAAAATTAGCAAAAGTACGACAATAATTTCGATGGACCTTTCGAATCCGAGCTCTCCAATGAGCATTGACGGTTTCTATAAGTTGTGGAATAAATGGGAGCAAAGCAACTACATGTTTGTCATGAAGTGCTTCAAGAGATTGATTGGTTTGAGAAACCTGCATGGATAGTGGCATATCACTCAGTATTCATTCTTCATTACCACAAAGAAAATCTAAAAGAAAACTATCAGATAATGCAATAACTTATATTAATATGACAGCAAAGAATTGTTATTTAATGGTAATATGCATTTTTATTAACATGGGAAACATATAAATTTGGACAAAACTTTCCCAAGTGGCATACTGAGAAACATGTAGGGAAAATATTTTTAACAAGCTAAGCGAATTTTGGAGAAACTCAAATATTTGCTTATTAAAATATCTCTAAAGATGTAGAATAATTATAGATATATAAAACATCGGTCTCTAGGGTACCTTCTTCTTTGGTTGATAACTGAATTTCATTGTTCCTAGAATAGCACCAGTTAGGAGAGGTGATTTGGTTCAAGTTGAATGCTCTAAAAGGGCAAGGCGAAGTCCTCAAAGCACATGGATGGAAGTAATGAGAAATGATGGTCTGACTACCGGGGTAGCCATTGATAGAGCGGAATGGCGGAATATGATTTTTTTAGCCGAATCCGAACATTTGGGATAAGGCTCGAACGATGATGATGAACTGAATTTCATTGCTATAAGAAGGTATGCATATGCATCCAATATACAAAAATTTTGAGAGTCTCAAATAACAAATATAGTTACTTAAGAGCTACTACCTCTCAATAGAAGATTGCGAAGACCAGTAGTGAAGAATAAACGATTCCCTCCCTCAGTAATAAATCAGCAAGTTCATTAGATTCTCTTCAAAACATGTGAAAATACAAAACTGAGCTTCAATTGTGGAACTCTTGAAAGGTATCCGTGTGTTGCCAAAGGAATGAGAAACTCTTGTTAGTCCACAAAATGACAGTAAAAGAGTCTCCTTCCACGGTATATAAGGTACATCGAAAAGAATGGTTTGATATCCTGATGGTTTTCTTTGCTCCCATGCAAAATAGGTCTTAAAGGGCCTGGTTAGTTTCAACAGATGAGCTAGAATTGATAATAACAAAAGTGACATGTTCTTATGGAGCCTCTGTTATTTCTGAGAAAGAAAATTTTCAGGTAGGATATTTTGAAAGTTAGCCTTGGACAAGGATTTCCACAGTTAAACCTAAGTACTGGATGCAAACCTTATTTTAGATGTTAATTTAGAAATTTCTTTTGATGTTCCTTTAGAAATTCTAAAAAGATAATAGCTCTAACCCAGGGCAATGAGAACAAAGCATATAGGAGGACTTTCAGCACATAGTTTTAATAACATCCATGAAAACAATGACATGTAATTCAGTTCTGAGGGCACATGATGATGTATGTGTATGCACTAAAAATGAAATGTGCAGAAAGGCATACATCCAAACCTAAACATGCATGTGTATGAATTTGCACATGCATTTTACCATGCCCATTTGCAAGGAAACACAGAACTATACACACACAAACAGTGCTACCTAATAAGAGAACTTCACAAGCAAAAGACAAACAAGAGTATATTGATACAAGACTTCCCTTGATGTGTGACATACAAACCACAAGGCAAGAAGAAAACATGCACCTTAGCACAGAATGCGAATTCAATAAACTGAAGAAACGTCTCCACGATAGTCTCACGTATTTCAACATATTGATTAATAGTTAGAAATATTTCTGCGATGCCAATGTTCAAAATGAAAAACCGGCTATCAACCTGCCATGAGGAAACAAATAGAAGCAATAATCAAACTAGCACAATGTACAAAATGAAGAAAAGAAGAACAATGATAAACATCATGGAAGAAGATATCTAGGACTACAACACAAATAACTATGGGTTCCTCTGTTGATCAAATATGTTAAATCAAGTACAGAAATTGAGGGCATCTGCCCAGGCCTTACCAATCAAAGAGAAAGCACCTCATTTCTTAAAAGCACTAAATACCCAAATGTCACAATCAGTTAACCTACTTGCTAAGGCATAAGGTATTATAAGAAAATAGTGAATATCGACAATACCAATACGTAATAGCACCCAGGAGCACCAACAGTCTCACTTAAGAAAAAGAAAAAACAAAAATAAAACCAAAAACAAAAAAACAAAAAGAAAAATAGGCCTCCTAAGATGTGTAGCAATGTGACACCAACAAAAACCGTAAGCAACTATATGAATCTTCTTTCCATAAGCAACTGAGAAAGTTCTATTAATTTAACGAGGAAAACGAACACAAAATTGTGTGAAATTTGAAAGAGATGCCAAGGCCTCAATGGTCAGAAAAAGTGGACATTACAGAAAAGTCATTGAGCAAAACACCATCCTTGGCCAAAGCATCAGGCTCTACATTTGCTTCTCCCAGGACATTGTGTAACAAAGAGATACAAGGGGATACTAAGTCCATGACCTCATCAAAAATAACAGCAAAGCACCATCAGTGGGGAGTAACCAGCCCGCTAGTTTATTCAATAACATAAAGGCTATCGCTATCCACTTCTATTTAACATTAAGGATGTCACCTCCACTCCCAGAAAAGTATTCCGAAACTGTGAATTAATATATTGTGCTCGTGTTTAGGACTTACTCATAGACCTTGTCATAGCTGTCCATAGTTTTTGCATTTTGAAATGGATGTTCATACAATACATAATATTTAGTGCATCTAAAGGTCTAATATCTCCCTCCCTCCATCAGTTGCCGGGGTCGCCAACTCAGTTGGTGATTCTATTCTAGAATCTCACTCCAGAGCTCCAGAAGAGGGATCTTCAAGGGTCTAGATTTTGAAGTTTTCGGATCTTGATCGGAGCGATCCGGACCTTTTGAAGATTACACTCTTTAATTTTTACAACAAGTAGCTATTGTGGTTTAAAAATAGTTCTATTTCTTAATATTACACTGTTTAATTCCAGTTCTCAGTGGAATTGTAAACTTAAACAGTGCAGACTTAATTTATTGCGTGATTCCAAAAAGGTTGGGAGTTAGATCCCCAAAAAGTTGGGAGCGAGATCCCCAAAACCAACAATACGCATCGTAGGATGCCATTTCTACCATGGGAGTCTTTAGCCTTTCGTAAAGCATCGCTTCCAATACCTAACTCACTTCTGACCACCTCCCAGTTACAACAATTATGCAATCGCACTCCCCCACCCACCAAAAAAAAAAAAAAAGAAGAAAAGTTCCTGCAATAAAATAAATAAATACCTCCAGCAAGACTCCCTATCACCCTTCAAATGTCTACTCCAAACCCCTAAAAGTTACTGAAGTTACAACCTAAGAAAAGAAATTGTGATTTCATGATACTATACAATGTATTAAAAGACAGGAGGTGGGCCTATGTAGCCTAGGGTCTAGCCGCCTCGGCACCACCTTGCGAAGCCTAGCCGGCCGCCACTTGCAGGAGGCGGCCCAAAATGCCAAGAGGGATGTGGGGAAATGAGTGGGATGGGGTTTTGTGAAAAATAAATATAAAAGAAGAAAGAAGAACTATAAACTATGTTTTATTTCTATGTTATTTTACATGTTCCCCAAAACGGAAAAGCCAAAATATATCCAATAAAAAACAAACAAAATCCAATCAACAACGGTGTGAAGCAAACCATTTAATGCTGGGTGGCTCAAAACTCCTCTTTTAACCCTTCTTGAATTTACACAATCCAATCCCCTTTAAATAAAATCAAAATCTTCAAAGAGAAGTAAAAGAAGAGAAAAATTCAGCCTCAACAGTTCCACCAAATCCTAGTTTTTGACGTGTTTGACACCACAAAACCTAGGGCTTTGGAATGTCAAGGGGTTAGGAGTACACACCACCCCCCTCCTCCCCAACTAACAACGCCCTAACCCACAAAGTTCTCCCCCCTTAAAAGGGAGGGTGGAATGACCTAAAAATGCACTTACTCGAGGGCATTTTTGATCCACAGGTAAGGGTGACATGCAGGCACGATGCCGGGCTTTGGCACCAGGACCAGCTTTTTCAAACACTTACACTATGGCAATAAGATCTTGAACATTTACCGCAGGAAGCTTGTACAGAGACAGGCCCTCTAGCTCCCAAAATTATAACTACAAGCATACACAGGGACATGTTCCAAACATTGATGCCAAGTATTTATTCAGAAAGTCAAAGTATTTCTTCATAAAATCAGTATCAATTTTGTTCATGTCCTTCATAAAGTCAGAGTATTTATTCATAAAGTCAGTATCAATTTCGTTCATATTCAAAAACAAACACATCCCTACTAGAAAAATTCTTGGCGCTAAAATGTATTCTTCGTGGTGGAGTGCTTCGAGTAGGATCCGATCCCGCAGTCAAACTCCTCCCTGACCCGTCCCACCTGCCTCTGAAGCTGGAATAGCTGCCTACCTGAGGAATCGAAAAGTTGGAAGTGGGATGTGGAATGTGATTGGTGATGGATGGTGGCTATGAAATCGGTTCGGGATCATCTCGCATCTAGATCTGTATTTGCACCTAGCTCTGCTGTTGAGGCTGGGTTGGGAGGGAACAAGAGATGGGATTTGTTTCATTGAAACATCAATGCCTCACTATGATCTAAAGATATCTAGTTTTTAGTTCAAGGGGACCGAAATTGTTTCACTACTAACTTCTCTTCGTTCAATCCAATCTTTTATGCCAGCCACTATCCTATTCTGGATACAAGTTGACATCAGAATTCAAAAATAAAACATGAAGAGCAAATGGATACAATTCCTATCAAAAAGTAATATCACAAAGCTGGCCTGTATCATAATGATTGAACAAACTCACAAACTGGCATTTAATCCGTGCAATTTCACTTAGACTTGCCATAGGTTCTTTGTGATAATAAAGATTTGTAGTAACAATAGTCCAATTCCAATACCAAACCAAATTACAAAAATCATATGTTAAATATGGCCAAAAAATGTTCCCCCAGGGACCAATACAACAGTAATTTCTTTCATTGGCTAACGATCTGAAAAGGGTAAGAGACCCCCCATTAGTGATGGAGTTTTGCACAAAGAAAAGACTTCCACTTCAATACTCTTGCTGTGAGGAGAACACTAAATGTCATCCCACTAAAAATTGCACTAAATAAGTGCCAAAGAACTCACCAGCAGTGTAAGATGATTTGAAGGGCAGAGAGGAAATACTCCCAGTAATTTCTTTGATAGTACAGGAAAAGAACACTTGAACCACTTTCCTCCATCAGATTTTATAAATGGTGAATGATTGTTGTTAAATCCAAAATAATCTTCTGCATCATACTTCCTATCTTTTGCAGCAAACTTGACGGAAAGATTAATACACTGTAATATGTTAAGCATGCAATCAAAATACAGTGTGTCAACTACAGTCGTTGTCACAAAAACAAGCCTGGACTCCTCCCAATAGTCAAGTAAAATAGCGACAAGATCTTGCAATTTTGAGCAAATGGAAGACAGCCCTGCAAAAGAAAGAGCTACACATAAATATGAACTGGGTAAAAGCTAGAAAAATAGTCTAAAAATATTATTATGGCCAACGCAATCTTTCAGAGATGAATGCCCACAGTGAGAATCTTACATTAAAACACATCAAAAACTATGTTGCAGAAGTGTAGAAAGGATAAGCAAGCAATACATCCCACCAGATTATACATAAATGTAAAAATTTCGCAACAATCATTCATGGAGTGCTTCTTCACAGGGATAACTATCAAAAAATGTGTCAGTTGATAGAGGAATCAACAGCACAGTAACTTGCAACTCATAGGTAGATAAGGCCGACAAGCAAGCAAAAAGATTACAACCATATTACTTATGATAAAAATGCTAACATTCTTCCATAGAGCTCCAAAGGTCAAAAAGCTTAGAATACAAAAAATTACACAGGGAAACCTAAGAAACCACAGAACTCGTTACAGGTAATGCCCTTACTGTGGTTGCACTGGCTTACATTTCCCCAAGAGTAGAGAGTCCGCTATAATGTGATATACATGGCAATGATGAAATGAGTAACTGCTAACTAGTCTTTTTAATGTATAAGTAAGCAGGGTCTATATTAATACCATTTGTATTTTTACTTTCATATTGTGGAATTTTTCATGTTTTTAACTGGGATAGTCATTTTTCGTTTCGAAATATTATGGTTCAGGTGCCTACCTAGGTGATTATAGCTAGCAAAAGGTCTGGGTGGTGGTGATGAAGAAAGACCTACTATGTTATGGACTAAGAGGAGACTAGATCTTAGTTGCCAAGATATCCTAACATGGGTGGCAATTCAACCCTGAGAAACCATGATCCGGATTGGGGACCTAATCCATGTTGGGGGAGCAAGAGCCTAATTCAATATGGTTCAGTCAACAGGTCAACACAACCAGATTCTTTATACTTTTCAAGAAAAAAACAAGCGATAAGTGCATGTCAATAAAAAACAACAAAAGCATATTCATCAAACAAAGGATATCACTAATCGCATATTAATAAAACAATAAAGCAATAAGTGTTCAAGCCCATGTTCTACAAACATTTTGCATAGCGAAAAGAATGCTCCATAAATTTCTCAAAAGGAAAGGTATTCTTAAGTCTCCATAAATAAATAAAGAGAAAATTCTAAACTCAATGTTCCCAGAATTATATCCACAGTATGGAATGGTGGGTCCAACTTATGTCAAAAATGATAATGGGATTTTGACCAATCATCTTTTATAAAATGTATACTACAGATAGAATCAAGTCTCTCTCCCATCACTCTAGCTTTTCTCTTTATATTTTTATATTTATTTGCTCTCTCGATCTCATGCTTTAGCCTTTTTTTTTCATTGAAATGATGGGGATTATGTGAAGAAAAGGGCAGGAATTGGGATTTCAAGCATTTTGACGTTTTACAAGTTACATTAATGTTTTACTTTGAGACTTGTATCCGTAAATCTATTATGTGATTGTACTATTACATTAGACTTGGGATTTCAAGCATTTTAATGTTTTACAAGTTACAATCTCTTTGAAACTTGTATCCGTAAATCTGTTATGTGATTGTACTACTACATTTTCGTCTAATTCACAAGGCGTTTGGGGCTCTAAAATTGCCCTGAAAACTCCCAAAGACTTAAAACCGCCGGAAGTACTACACTTTTTTTTTGGGGGGGTAGGCGGGGGTGGGGGGTTTCAATTTTGGTGAGGGAGCACTATATTTGGGTGGCACCTAGGCGGGGGCCCAGGCGCCTAGGCGGCCAAGCACCCAAAATGCCTAGGCACCCGAATCCGCATTTTTGAACATTGAACAGGCTACAGTTAAAATGAAGATAGCATCACATCTTCTGGAGGCCCACACTGGGGTTGGGATCAAATCTACAATCCATAAAGAGATGGTTTTGTTAATGCTTCATAACAATGAGGATTGGTGTCCAAGAGGATTCATTAGATGCAGAGAGACCAGCTTGCAATGTAAAGACCCTCACATTATTAGGCTTTAATAACACATTGGGAAACCTAAGAACACCCTAACCCAGTGTCATAGACAGTTGTCATAGAGAGTTGAAAGAAGTGTGGAAACGCCAATCATTGTTTTTGGTTGATAGGATCACCCTCATCAAGTAGATACTTTATAACATTCCAGTCAACTCAAAGTCTATACCCAAGTTCTTTATCAGATAGCTGATAAGTTCGAGATGCACATAGAGTACCTCTGACAAGATGAGAATGACAAAAGGATATGGATGAGTGTGTGTGTATGCCAAGCTTTGGTCGGCATCCTGAGCATAGCAAAACACCTTCATCAACGCCTCAAGGGAAAGTGTCATTAGCATTCAAAAGACCATGACAAACTTTGTATAAGGTGGCTGTGGGTAAGTATGCTTGTTAAGTATAAGCAGATGGAGTAATAGAGATTGAAGTAGGAAATGGAGTGTTTACAACATCGAGAGGTGTGGTGTATGGTACGGTAAATTTGATAAAAAAAAATAGGCACAGAGTGGGATTGGGGCATGTGTGTTGAAATGGCCAGCAACACATCCCAAGTTCCCACCCAACCCCCCCCCCCCTGCCCCCCTCCCCCCCCCCACAACAAAAAACAAAGGAAAAGAAAAAGAAAATTGAGCTCAGAGTTTGGTATTTCGAGGAGTTCAGTTTAGACCTAACATCTAGTGTTGTGAATTTATTCTTCAAGACCATTCATATTCTACACTAGATAGCCAATAATCAAGGTGTATTCATCTCAGAATGCTTTGGGTCTTTACGAAAGAGGGTAGTCATAGTTTCGAATCTGGAAAAGGGGTTGAGAATCTCAATCTTCTCTTGGGCAAATGAAGCGTCTGTTTTTCTCTATGGCTGACTTCAGTGTTTAAGAAGATGAGAGTCCCTGGGTGCCTTCATGCAGGTAGAGACCCTAGGTGCCTTTTTTTTTTTGAGTAAGATAGAGGGGGAGAAGGCCCCCTACCCGTTTTTCATTAATAAAAAAGCAGAGAAAAACAATTAAGATACAACCCTATGGTAAGGCACTTGTGCCAGATCATGTAATAAAAGAGAGTAAAGAAAATCTGGTGGTCTATGGCGCCATACAGTAGCACCGGGGCCAGCAGCTACCCTCTTAGCTAGGACACCAGCAACCATGTTAGCTTCACGAAAGATATGTGTGATGGACCATTGATGAGAAGACAGTCTGGTGCAACAATTGTCTACAATCGTCTTTAGTCTCCATGAAGCATTGCATCGATTCTGAATGACATTCACACGCAAGGCCGAGTCACTTTCAATCTGGGTTGGAAAGTAATTACTTTGAATAACCAATTGAACTCCTTCCTCAAATGCCAAGAATTCTGCTTAGTTATTAGAAGCAAAACCAAAATGCTTTGCAAAAGCAGCAATAAAACCACCCGCATTGTTCCTGATAACTCCACCACCACCTGATAAACCTGGATTTCTCAAAGAAGCACCATCAATATTGAGTTTGTAATTATGAGTCTCAGGAAAAGACCATGCTACTGAAGTAAAAGGCTAAGCCCTCTGCTACTGCCAAGTTATCCAAAGGTTACCAATGCTAGCCTTTTCCGATAAATGAAAAGACCACTTCTTAACTTCTGCTAGTGCCTGAACATGCAGGGTAATTCTTTTCACAATAAGTTCTCTCCTGGTGGGTCTTGACTCAAAAATTCTTCTGTTGCGCTCTTCCTATAGAAACCAAATAGTAGTAAAAAGATGGAAGACCAAATATTACGAAGTCCATGTGATTTAAACCTGAAAAGTAACCAGTACCTAAGTAAATCAGGCATAGAGGTACCAAGGACAAACCTTTTTCAACATCTCCAAGCAAGTGATCTCCAAACACCCTGCGCAAAGGCAAATTGGAATAATAGACGAAAATGATTGTCATCATGGTTATTACAAAAGGGACAAAACGAGTCCAGTTGCATGCCTCACTACTATAGTAAGAATGAAGTGGGTAATCAATTATGCAAGGTCAGCCATGAAAACCATTTCGCCCTTGGGTGGCATTTGGAGGACCAAAGTGCAAGGAAGATAGCCTATGATGAACCTTGATGCCTAATAAAATCCCATGCCCTTTTAATAGAGAATGATCCATCAGCAGAATAATCCAGACCAGTGAATCCTTCTTGGGTTGTAGATGGAGAGTATAATTCTCAACTTCTCTCCATATATTCCTCAAAGAATCAGATGCGGGATGCGGCAGAACCCAAGCTTGAGGAACTCCTCTGATAAAGTCTAAAACCCTCCTCCCTACAGCAGCCCCCAAATATTCCTAAATGTTATCATCGTGGAGATCTGAAAGTGGTTGACCTTCTAACCATGGGTCCATCTAGAAATCCACCATCTGACCAATACCAATATTCCACTGTACATTGCCTTTCAAATGAAATAAGCCAAGTACAATCCCCTTTCATGCATGAGAACATCCTCTTCTGCCTTCAGCCTCCCAAATAGAAGAATTTCTAAAATATCGATGTTTGAAGAACCGTGCCAACAACGAGGATGGATTTTCCAAAATCCTCCATGCTAACTTCATCATGCCTGCGATATTGAAATCCGTCATATCTCTTACCCCAAGACCTCCTTCAGCCATAGGGAGGCACACCGTTTTCCATTTTATAAGATGAACACCATTTTTTTTCTGCTTCATGACCCATAAGAAGTTTCTCTGTAGTCTCTTTATCATCTTACATGTTTTCTTCGGAAGAATGAAGGATAATAACCAGAAAACCGATGACGCCCCCAGTACAGACCTAAGGAACTGAAGTCGATCGGCATATGAGAGGCATAAAGGCTGTTAAGACCCGATCTTACCGAACACCTTACCCACCAGACTATGACAATAATTGTGCCTCAGATATCCACGAAATAATGGTAGGCCCAAATAGCGGACAGGAAGAGACCCTTCAACAAACTTTAACTCCCTCAGAATTCTCCCCTGTCCTCCTTGTGGTGCACCAAAAAAAAAGACCTTGCTTTT